TACAGAAAACATAAAATAATTTTATGGTTGGGGGTCACCACAACATGAGGAACTGTATTAAAGGGTCGCGGCATTAGGAAGGTTGAGACCCACTGGAGTAGAAGGTGTAAAACTCGTGTTGTCATGTGACGTATCAGGATGTTTTTTTCCCCTTCACTAAACTGGGCGGGGCCAGCACATGATGCATCCAGCCCACGGGCCGCGAGTTTGACCCTCCTGCCATAGGTGATTTGAGGGCTATATCTCTATTAGCAACTATTACATTTGAAAGCTTTGTTACATTGTGGAGTCTTATGGCACAAGAAAGAACTTAGTGTGAAAGGGAGGGCATCATATTGGAATTGAGCTTGGTTCCTTGTAAGTAAGAGGTTTCCCTGTACCCAGGAAGAGTGTCTTAAATCTGGCTTTCTTCTGGGTTCTGATTTCTCTCCCTGGCTTTAATTGACATTATTTCTCCTTTCTTTGCAGAAAACTATCTATGGGGCCAATGTAGTTATATTTGAAGGTATCCTGTCATTTGCCAATAAGGAGCTTCTACAGGTACTGAACAGGGAAAAGATAACACATGGGTAGGACATGGACTAACTTGGGTAAATGGGCTCCCTATTTAATTTGTGTCATAAATGAATCTGTTTTGTGGGAAGTAACCTGTAAACAGGTCCCTCAAAGATGCAGGCATTTGAATAAATTCTAAGATAAGACTTTGGCCAGATGCTGTGTCTCTAGTTTTTCCCCTTCCTTGTGACTTCTGCAGCTCTTGGACATGAAGGTTTTTGTGGACACAGACTCAGATATACGGCTCGTGCGGCGGTTGAAGCGGGACATCATGGAACGTGGGCGGGACGTGGGAGGTGTCATCAAGCAGTACAGCAAGTTTGTGAAGCCAGCCTTTGAGCAGTACATTGAGCCTACAATGCAGGCGGCAGACATTGTGGTGCCTCGAGGTGAGAGGAGGAAGAGGAATGGCTCTTGATTTGTTCAAAGTGCAATATTGGGCTGTGTTACATGCCAATACTCACTGTAGGAATCTCAGGAATTTTGAGTTTGAGCACAGACAAGAGTGCCTGTTTCATAGTCTAAATATGACTACAATTTAGTCTCCTGTTTTCCAGCCCAGCACCTTAGCCACCACACCAAAATGGTTCTCATCTGAAAAGTAACTAGAGATTACAAACAAATATTAATTTCTATGAACAAGGGAACCATTTGCACCTTAAAGATCTTTAAAGGTTAACAGTAAAGGTTCTCCTCGCACATATCTGCTAGTTGTTCCCAACTCTAGGGGGCGTTGTTCCTCCGTTTCAAAGCTGAAGTGCCAGCACTGTCTGAAGACCTCCACGGTCACATGGCCGGCATGACTAAATGCCAAAGGTGCACGGAACACTTGTTACCTTCCCACCAAAGGTGGTTCCTATTTTTCTACATCAATTTTTACATGCTTTCAAACTGCTAGGTTGGCATAAGCTGGGACAAGTAACGGGAGCTTACTCCATTACGCGGCGCTAGGGATTCAAACCGCTGAACTGCCAACCTTTCTGATCAATAAGCTCAGTGTTTTAGCTACTGAGCTCTTAAAAGACTTTTAAGGAACGTTAAAACCAGACTGATTGATTTATGGAATATAGGAAATTTTTAAAAAAGATGAGACCTGCCATTCAGCTATGAATGGGAATGGAGAAATATTACCTAAAATGCAGGTATCCATACTTCAGAACCTCTTTGGCTTTTCAACCCCCTTTTTTTTCCAGGTGGAGAGAACTTTGTGGCTCTGGACTTGATTGTTCAGCATGTTCATAGCCAATTGGAAAAGGTGAGGAGAAACAGTCTTGGGGAGGGAGAAAACATCACTGCTACAGAAAGCCCCATTCCCACATGGTTACTCCTCCTTGTTGCCCAGTATCTGCTTTTTGTTATTATAAGCCCAGTGGACTATTCACTCCCGGCCAAGAGCTATATCCTGGAAAGGCATCCAATTCCTGGCTGTGGTTCATGGGTGTCCTTAGAATTCTTGCACTCCCGATGACTCCACCTACCACATGGTTTTTGTCCCCCAATTAGTAAGCAATAGGGAGATGGGGAAGAATGGAGCCACCATTTTATTATTTTAGGCTTGGCCTTGGGGCAAATGTTGCTGTGTGCAGTGACTGGCTGTTCTGTTTTGTTTCACTTCCCACTACTCCCTGCCTTGTAATACTGCCTCCCGGTGTGGGCTCCTCCTCCTACCGCCCAGCGTGAAATCACAGTCAGGTATGGTGGCACCCTTAAAGAAATAGAGCTAGATCCTCTCTCCTCTCCTCTTCTCTCCCCCACCTTCTTCATCTTAGTTATTGTTCTCTTGACACCCACTCAGTGGGAGAGCAGCTGGGTGTTGGGGAAGAATTGCTGGCAGTTTCTGGTGGGAATATGCAAGGAGGTCAATACAGGCAATTGCTTAGGTTGAAGATTCGTTAATGGGCATGTGCAAAACCTCTGGCCGCTTTGGAACCTCACTAGAGCATGTTAGAACTCTGCTCTTTTCACTGAGACTTCACCTTTGCCGTCTTTCTTTAGAAGCAGATGTCTATGCAGAGCTCTCAGGAAGGGTGCTGCTTGTGAAAGTCTCACTTTCTCCTCCACGTCAAGGAAATATTCATTGCCAACACTATTCTTTTGTGTATAATAATATACACAATAATATATGGGGCTATATTGAATGGCGTTTCAATACATTTCTACATTCCAGCCACATTTCCACAAGTGCAATTTGCACACCGAAATGGTATACCTTTCAGCGAGGTTGGGATGGAGAAGAGGAAGTTCATTCAGTCGTTTAAGACTACTTGCAGTGAGCTACTGGGATCCCAGCTGCTCTCCCTGTTTTGGTACTGTGGGAGCGTTCTGCTGTTCCTCTGCCCCATGTCTCAGGCAGGAAGCTGCTGCCTTGTTGCCCCTCCTAACGCACTCTGTCTATCTGTCTCTCTTCTGTCCTGCTGGGCCTGGGCACCTGCATCAGAGGAAGCTACGCTGGCATATGTGAGGACACTTGGTCTCCTTTGGCTATTTCCTGCTGCACCTTCCTCTCCTTGTGTACTGTGTGTTCCATTTTGAGGGGGTGGTGGGAATAGAGCAAGGCTAGGGGGGATGGGTGTCTTTCTGCTCCTGTGCTCCTGTTTTTTAATCCAGTAGTAGAAAGATAACTTAGCTGTGCCTGACTTTCAAGAGTGGGCATTGGAAACCTTGGTGTGCTGTAATTGCTGAGTGAAGAGCAATTTATAATTGCTCCTAAGCTGTGTCATGTCCTAGGTTACACTATTTGTCTTATTAGAAGCAGGGAATTTTCAGAATTTATTTTGGATCCAGTTTTCTTTCTTTTGTGCACAAATGTTGGGAGGGAGGGAGGACCATATGAGCAGAAATGATGTTTTGCATGCAGAGCTGTTATTGTAGGCCCAGCAGATACATCGGTTCTTTCTTCCATGTGACTCATCATCCTTATTTTTTCACAGAGCAGCCTTGGCCTCTGCTCATCAGGGACAACCATTGCCAACAACCTTAAGTGTCTTGGAGAGCACACCGCAGGTTCGGGGGATGCATACTATTATCAGGTACTAGGCAAGATCAGAGTGGGAGTATGCTTGCCTCTGAGACAGGCTATATAAGCCTTTGGAGAAGGAAAAGTCCAACGGTCTGTAGCAGCTACAGAGAAGCATCAGTTACTTAAGGAAAAGATGAAGGGCTTGGGTTTCATAGGTAAATTCAGAGCTGTCAAAAGTCGATGGCGACAGGCTTGCTTTAGATAAAGACATTTTCTGGATGGAATCCTAGCATGGAATAATATTGCTCTTCTGTTTGCTTTGCAGGAACAAAGACACCAGCAGGGATGAATTCATATTCTATTCCAAGCGTCTCATGCGGCTGCTGATTGAATACGCCCTTTCCTTTCTACCCCTCAAGGTATGGGCTTCTCCCACTCATTTAAGACCACACACAGACACACTCCACTTAATTTAGAAGTGCCAACAGAGATGCCACAGCCCATCTAACTTGCTGTGTGCATATGGGGTGATTCTTGTAGTTTTTGGTTCAAGCATGCCTCAGCAAGTAGCCCTGCGTGATTACTGATTTGGCCTTGTCAGCTCCTTCTGTTCCAACCGGCAATTTTTCTTGACTTTTTCAGCCAGTTACTGTAGAGACACCACAGGGGACAATTTATGATGGAAAGAGATTTCACAGGCAGCGGGTGAGTGATTTTTTTTTTTATTGCCTCAAAGGGTCTGTGGGGTAGTATCTTTGTAGGACAGAATAGGAGAAAGAGGTCAATAGACTAATAGAATAATAATAATAATAATAATAATAATAATAATAATAATAATAATAATAATAATAATAATAGAGTTGGAAGGGACCTTGAAGGTTGTCTACCAACCCCCTGCTCAAGCACATACCATATTTTTCAGAGTATAAGACACATCTTTTTCCCTCAAAAAAGAGGCTAAAATCTGGGTGCGTCTTATACACTGAATACAGCATTTTTTCCCTCCTGAAACACTGCCCCCTTCATCAAAATGGCTGTGCATAGCCTTATGGAGGCTTTCAGAGAGCTCCTGGGGGCTGGGGAGGGCAGAAATGAGCAAAAAAGAGTCAGTTTTTTGCTCAATTTTGTCCTCCCAGCCCCCAGGAGCACTCTATAAGCCTCCTAAAGGCTATGCATGCCCTTTTTTGACAGAAAATTGGCTGTTTTTTGCTCATTTTGGTGGGGGCTGCCCCCCAAGGCACACACTACAAGCCGCCTAAAGGCTATCCATGCCCTTTTTTGGAGGGGGAAAAAAACGGGCCCGTTTTTGCAAAAAACAGCATTTTTGGGAGGTTTGCAGAGTGCAAAACTTTTTTTAAAAAATTTGCCTCTCCAATACCTTGGTGCGTCTTATACGGTATACCATTTCAGACAAATGGTTGTCCAGTCTCTTCTTAAAAACTTCCAGGGTTGGAGCACCTACAACTTCTGGAGGCAAGTTGTTCCACTCATTAATTGTTTTGTTAGGAAATTTCTCCTTAGTTTTAGGTTGGTTCCGTCCTTGATTCATTTCAAAGAATTGCTTGTTTTGCTGCCTTCTGGTGCTTTGGCGAGCAGGTTGTCCCCCCTCTTCTTTGTGGCAGTCCCTTAAATATTTGAACACCGCTATCAAATCACCCCAGTCCTTCTTTACATTAAACTGGTGAAGATCAGTCTGTTTTCTACAGATTAGGCCTTTCAGTGAATCTTGCTTATAAAAGTTTACTTTGGTTAGTAGCTGCTGGAGATGCAGCTGGGATTTTCTTCATGCAATCAAGGCCTCTCTCTCTGTGTTACAAACACATAACCATGTTTTTGCAGCACTAGATATAAGTGGTTGCTTATTGACAAGGATCTTGGAAGAAAACTGTTTTCCCCTTTCATAGATCACTGGAATCTCTATCCTGAGAGCAGGGGAGACCATGGAGCAGGCTCTTACAGCTGTCTGCAAAGATATTCGCCTGGGAAAGATTCTCATCCAAACCAACCATGACACGGGGGAACCTGAGGTGAAAAAGATGGAATGGGGTCTTTTAGGAGAGAGTTAAATAGTTTTGAGATGGGGCTGAGTTGTGGATAAGATGATTCTCCTGAATTTTTTTCTGCTCTTGCCAGCTGCATTATCTCAGGCTGCCCAAAGAGATCAGTGAAGACTACGTCATCCTGATGGATAGCACTGTCTCTACAGGAGCTGCTGCCATGATGGCTATTCGGGTGCTGCTGGTAGGTTGAGGACCAGTTAAATGAGATAAGTGGTTGGCTGGTTGGTTGGAATTCTTCTGTTCTTGATGTTGTAGGCCAAGACAGACTGGTGAGTACAACTAATATGGATTGGGATTGCATGCATGTCAGGGATGGATGGTTAAAGTTGTCATTGAAAATGGTTTGGAGAATTCAGAATAATTTGACTTGCAGTCTGGATGGAGTCTCTGGGTCATATAGGGACTGCTCACATGTGCTGTATCTCTCAGGACCACGATGTACAAGAGGATCGGATCTTCTTACTGTCCCTGCTGATGGCAGAGATGGGAGTCCATTCTGTGGCTTATGCTTTTCCCCGTGTGCATATCATCACCACAGCTGTGGACAAGAGAGTCAATGAGGAATTCCATATCATCCCTGGCATTGGTAAGCAGTTGTGGTTTTCTGACACTTAGTTTTGCTCTGGCTGGCTTCGTGAGCCGGAGTGGCACAGATCAGACACTATCTAGCTCAGTGATGGTGAACCTGTGGCACGCATGCCACAAGTGGCATGTGGAGCGATATTTGCTGGCATGCCAGCTATTGGCTCCAGTGCGCATTCCCAAACTTCTGTTTGGTTCGTTGGGGCCGTTTTTATCCCTCCCCAGCCTCTGGAGGCTTTCCTGAAGCCTGGGGAGTGGGAAAAATGGCCCCAGTGGGAAGTTTGGAAACGATCTGTTTACGGCTTTCAGTGGGCCGGGGGAGGCCGTTTTAGCCTTCCCCAGGCTTCAGGAAGCCTCTGGACCTGGGGAGGGGTTGTGCACGCAGGCATGTGGGTGTGGGTGTCACGCAGGCATGCGCAGGTGGGTGGGGAGGATTAAATTGATGTAGGTGTTCAACACACCATAAGTGTTCTGATAAGTGATTTTGTTCAGCTGATTTAACAATCGTTTTTGTCTTAGGTGAAGACATTGTAGTCTGCGAGATTAACACTTTTTGTTTGATGCAGTGTGGTGGGTATTTCCATGGGCCAGAAAGAAGTTCCTGAGCTGCTTCTATTACAATGTAATTCTTTTTTTTTTTTTTTTAGGGAACTTTGGAGACCGTTATTTTGGCACAGATGGCACCATGCCCTGGTATGAGAATGACGACATGGATTGCTGACCTGATTCTGCTGGACAAGGCTTTATTTCTTGACTTGACTACAGGCATGATGCTATTGCCCTGGTCCTTTCTTTTCATAATTACAAGCTCTCCTAGAGTGCTCTGCAGTGGTGCAATTTTGTTAGCACTTACTGCTATAATACACCAACTGGAATGGAAACATTGCTGCTGCTGCTGCTACCTTCCCATTCACAGTCTCCTTCATATTTATTGGTATTTATTAGGGCATTTACTCCACTGTAATACTGCTTCCCATCTTTTCTTTTCTTTTAAACGCAATACTTTTATTATAAAATAATATAAAGAATATCATCAACGTGACTGCATTGTGGGCAGCAGCATCATGGGCGCAAGGGGGAGGCTTCCAAGGCGTCTGGCTCCATTCTTCCTTCAGGGACCTTCCTCTTGGATTTGACTTCACGACGCTCCATGAAAGGATCTCTTTTGGTCACATGGTTGCTTTCACCCAGCTTCAATGTGTAGCTTCATCAGCATCTTGTTCCCCTATTAAGGATGCTGTAAAAAATGTATCCCTGCAAATCCATTGGATTTTTCACTGTGCCCTTTTATATGTGTTTCCTCACTGGCTGATGTGCAATGCAAGCAGGCTTCTGCACGTTCATCGGGTTCCTCTCTAAAATAATTTCATGCTGACTTATTCAGGATCCTGTGATCTCGTCAGCTGTGTGTAAATTGCACTTGTCCTCCCTAATTTATGACTGCACAAGCATTTGGGACCATAGTGTTACTATAAGGGACCTGATGCTAGAGGCAAGTGCTCTACACCCAAAGTCTATACTACTATTAGTGAAAGCCAGAGCTACATTTGCCTTCCAAACTAAAAGTAGCTATTGGCCTCACATTAGGCCCCCAACCTACATTCCCTTATCCTGATCTGTTTTTCAGTACTGTACACGTCTGACTTATTTTTTTTAATGCCAAAATAAAAGATTGACAGTGCTATTTGGTTTTGATCTCTTTGTAATTGGGATCTCTTAGTTGGATGTCTTCCAGGTGAAGAGAGAGAAATACGGGGATGCCATTTACATCCTATTTGCTCAGTGCATTTAATTTCAGAAAAAAAGATTGAAAGAATCATAGTATCAGAATAAAAATTAAATCATGCCATACCACTGAATTATAGAGTATCTTGGAAGACCTACAAATTACAATTAGTGCCTGGGTGAGGTGTTCTATTGTTATCCAGCTCTATGGCATCTAACATTGCTGCCAATATTCAAAGTTTGGTAAACTGAGGAGAGAAGGACACAAGTACGTACTTGGTTACTAGATTGTCATTGGCAGGATCTGTTCAGCAGGAACAAAACCATTGCAAAACAATGTTCCCAATCCCTACCTTCTTGGTCCAGAAGGAAGTCATTATATGGAGTGCCAGGAAAGCAACACCCTCTATTCAAGTACAGACGGGTAATACATTGGAGCAACAAATATTTTCAATTCCATATCCAAATTGGGAAAGGACCAAAACAATCCACTTCAGGATTATTTACAGATGCAATCTTTATGACCTCAAAAAAAAATTTTTTTTTTCAAAGCAAAAGGGGGTATCCTCAAAAGGGTTTGAGGGATTCATCACTGTTGTTCTCAAGACAGAAGTAAATTCTCTCAGATATTTAAGATTAAAAAAAGGTAAAAGGTCATGTGGCTGCTGCGCATGACTATACACCAAGGTACACAGAACGTTGATACTTTCCCACCAAAATGGTACTTATTTGTCTACTTGTATTTGCTTGCTTTCAAACTGAGGTACTTAACCACGTCTCAAATTCAACACACACAGCTACCTGAAAAGCCAAGAGCAGCACAGGTTCATCCCACAGTAGCAGAGCTGCTACTACTAAGAATCTTGTCCATAAGTTCTAAAGAAGCCAAAATAACCCTACAAGATGTCCCAGTTATGCCACTTGTTCCTGCTAATGGTAAAACAAATGGTTTTGTCGGCAAATGGCGAAAATGTCAAAGCATCTTGA